GGTATTATGGAAGGAAAAAAAAAATTAACTTAAACCAGTTTTAAATAACTAAAAAATGCCTCCCTGGCTCATCAGTATTGTCTGCATTGTAGGAGTGAAACACATTTACTCAAGGAAGCTTCCCATGTACCAAATTCACCTTACACGGATTTAGCATTTATGTCACTACATTTAATTTTGAATCGTAGTTATTCGTATTGTTCCCTTGTACCACCAACTCAATCTTGTTTGGCTAAATCCTCTAGGATGACCGCTCAGAGCTCTGTATTGCCCCAAAAGTTTAAGTGAAGATATTTTATTTGTACCTAGAAGTCTTTATTGCTCTTTACAAAAACCTCTGAACATTATGCCACTCATATGTGCCAGTTTCTGCAGAATCCATTCTAAATATAAACTTAAACTTACTAAGCAAATACAGAAAATGATCATCTATACTAATGGTATACATTTGTATGTAAATTGTAAATATCTGACAGCATATACTGGATTGTTGCTAAAACGCTGAATCACAATTTGAGTCAAATTTTGCTATTAGTATTAGTTCAATGACCTTCTAAGAAAAGCTGAAATCAATTAAGAAAAGAGGGAATACAAACGACTCTTTGCTACAAGTAAAAAGGCAGAAACTCAGATTTTCTAGCTCAAATACAGCAGTATTTGGATTAAGTTGGAGTTACTGTATTCAGACATTTCAAGTGAAATCGTTAGCAGCCCATTCAAAATCCTTTCATGTATTACCTGGGTTTAATTACTTTGCTGAGGAGCACTGTGAAGTGTAAGAAATAGCCACCTATTTCAGATTCATCGATCACAATTTCCTACAAGTCTCAATCTCCAGTCCTGCCTACATTGAAGTGGGTAGAAAAATCAATACTTATGTAAAGCTAGCAAAATTCTATTTTGCACTTAAGACACAGATCCGCACCTTTGGCATGGTTTTCAAGTTTTCGAACTGCGTGGAATAACAGTAAAAGGACATTGTTATTTAAGTGGTGGAAATAATAATAGGAATCTACTTTCAGCATGGTAAAAAATTTTTCTAAAGAGAAAACATTGTTGACTTACTGAAAAGTATCTGGAAAGTGTTCAATAAGTATGCTTAGTAGATTCAAGAGCGTTCCTTTGTACAAAAGCTAAAAATAGTAACAGACACTTAAATGCAGGAACCTTAAAAAAAGTTCCGAACAAAAAGCATGTGACAAGAAATTTTCAGTGTATTGAATTTTGCTTATTGTTGGCGAAGCTGGAATACATTCTGTCACTTGCACATTGTCATATTACTTGCAAAATGAGTAAAAATTAAGATGTGATTTGTGAGTAATAGACCCAGTACATTCGTGCCACCAGCAGAATCCCAGAAAAAAGGTGCAAAACCCATTATAGATAATGCCTTCTGACTTCTCCAAATGAAGTCACCAGAAGACTACTGATCTGGGAATTTTTATGTCCAAGTCCAAATTCATGATGTTTGATTTAGAGAGATTGTATTAGCTATGTTACTAATTAACAGGTATGTAAACTACAGGTTGATAGATTACTTCCTTAACCCATGCATTTTCAGGTAGGTAGTTCATTCAATACCATGAAACTGCTACAGGATTTGTTTTAGAGCAGGCTTGGTTAGCTAAATAAAAACAATTCTTACAAAAGGCTTGTAATTGACATTTAGCCTCTTAGTGGTTTAGTTATCCAAATGTGACTCTTGAGCTTATACATAAAACATGAACTTAAGGGCATGCTAAGTGTCAAAGTGCACACATAGGTGTAACAATATTGACTGTTAAATGTTTGGTACCCAGGGTTTAAATACTTCAACAAAACTGAAAGATAAAGAAACAAAGCTGTTTCAGCTAATACAGACAAAAGGCGAGCTCCACCACTGCAACAGGATCTCTTATAGCCACCAAATGGAAGATAGCTATGAGAGATGAAACCACAAGGAAGAAGCAAAAGCCAAGTGAAAAGACTGAGTATTTATATGACACAAATTCAGATTAAAAGAAGCTCACTCGGCAAGCATTCAGAACATCTGCAGTTTCTGAAACTTTGTTTCCCATTACAAGACTGTCTATCAAAATACTCATTCTGAAAATGTGTCCCTTTGTTTCCTTCATGATGTCAATAGCAAAGGAAGGGGTATTTTACATGCAGGGATTTTATACATAAGTATATTTTTATTTGTAATCAAGCCATTCTCAATAAAGGTTTAAAGTCACAAATAACCCTGTAACATAATGTAGCAAGTGCATTTATTAACTAGCTTATTATGAAAAATACTGGAAAATCTTTAGAGGATGTGTTACATAACTGGAAATGGCACAGCTGAAATTGTAATTTGGAAAAAAAATTTTTTCAGCTAAAAGTTCATAGTTGCTAGGCTGTAAATTGTCTTCATTCTGCACTTCCTGAACACTGCATTACCTGAACCATACAAAACAAAATTTCAATATACAATGGTAGCTGAAAATAGCAAATGTATTATTATTACCTATATTCCACAGCTGTTTTGTGTACTCCACAACCACTAAATATGCCACTGGAGCACAGCTCCAAGGAAGTACTTTTCATTACCCATCCTGATCCCTCACAGCATCTCCGTGGCTTTCTGTTCACAATGACAAGTATGCAAGTGCACAAGCCTTGCCTATGCTTTAGCCAGTGTTTCTATTTTTGCCTCAACACAGCACTGAGCTTGTGAAGATATTGAAAGCATCTGTCTGCAGCACTACTTTTGTACCTTGAAGGAGCCCATCAAAGACATTGGTCCAACTGTGGTTGTAATACATACTATAAAGGGAAATAGAACTGAAGTGGATTTGTTTTACAGTACCCACACATCTTCAAACAACTAGAACATGTCTAGGACATTACTTAGCTCTAACAGAACTGCATCAAATAGTATGTAATTAAAAAAACACACACAGATGAAAACAATTTATACCTCCTTTCTCCCTAATGCATTTGGGTAGAGGGTAAAAACTAGAAAGCAGAAGTAAATAGACACACAATGCAAAGCTTATGTAAAAATTTTTATGTCCTCTGAACTCATCTCCATCAAACTATATCACATTACCGAATAAATTTCATCATCGTTTTATATCAGTGTATTCCTACTGGATATATTTCTAGTAAGGAACAAAAGTTTGGACTCATTAGTGTAAGTGACAAAAAACCCCCAAGAAGCCATTTTTCAATTATTTTATTTAACACAGTTTTGAATCCTATTATTTAAAAGTTGGTTACAGGAAATTAAAATGACAACATTAAAATAATAACTTGTGATCCACAGTAAAGCTATCATCCAACAGTACCTTTTAATTTTTTATGTGGCATTTGATTGTAATGAGATGCTCTCTCTTACTCTTTGATTACACTGGGTATAAAATAAGGCTGGACTGCTTCAGTGAGCTTCTCTGCATACATTTCATATCTACCAGTCATCTGGAAAAGAAAAATCAAAGCCTCAGTTCTTTTAGTGAGCTATGAAAGTACCTCAGTAGAAAATATTTATACCCACCATTTTTTAAATGATGACAGATTATTTAATTGCCCCAAACAATAAAATCGTAATTCACTAAAAATGCAAGACCTCCGGTGCTTTAGCACAAACTAATATACTTTTATAAAAGAACTTGCATTGTGTTGCCTAGAACTACAGTTCTACCCAAAAAAGAGTAGAAGTGCATTTCCACTCTAAGAAGTAAAACTTTAAAATGAACACCTTCCTGCTTTCCAGCTCTCCTTCATCGACAGTCATGTCTGCTGACTAATCACTTAAGGCTATTTTGGTTATCCTGGATAGCTGAAAGTTGAATGTGAAATATGGACTTACTTTCTTGTGCATCAACAATATTCTCTTTTAAGTAAGTTATGTCAATGAAGGCAAAGGAGTGTATCTGTAATTTTGCCTTCATATTATGTCCTTGACAACTGATGAACCCTGCTGCCAGCAATAAGTTTGCATGCCACTGATGGTATTTGGGTTTCTCTTACTTTATCCATTAATACAAAATCTTATCATTGCTTTGGATGATACAGTAAGCTAAGAGGCTGAAATACAGCACCATACATAGAGCTATCATCCTCTTCTGAAGTGCACAATCTATAACATCGGCTCCGAGAGGGGTGAATTACTTCTTTCTTTCCAGAGTGTAATGAGGACAATTTGTTTAACTATTTTGCTGCTGTAAGTTTAGCACAGACATTCCACCTAACGTCCCTTTCAGGCACCATTGAAGGCAAACTGCAGAGTCCAGAGAAGGTTAAATAGGTTCCTACTTGCTATCAAAGGTTTTCTGCAGTGGATAATCAATGACTTCATACTTCCTCATTCCCCCTCATATCAAGAACTACCTCTGTCTCGGCCACAAATGAGAGGAAAAGGCAAGAGATATCCCCTGTCACATAAACAAAAGCCACAGCTGTGCCTTATGTGCCAAAAGACCAACAATCACAATCCACACCATCAACATAAAATTAAGGTGCTGAAAGCATGACTTGGAAGACAACAAAAAGTAAGCAATTTTATACAAAACAGCTAACGATCAGTGTTTTGCTTTTACTGTCTGTTTTTCCTAATCAATACAATCACTTTTGTTCAGATACCACTACTAAGCTGTTATAAGCAATGCTCCATGTGCTCCCTGACACACTAAATCTCTACTCTGCAATAAGGGCCTCAGTTTTCGGTGGCAAAGAAAAACTAAATGCCTGCCTGACTTAAAAACTGGGAATCTCTCAGCAGAATTTAATTCCACTATGTCAACAGCCATACACCTACCACATGCATCTGTAAAATAGCAAATGCAATTCTGTTCAGAAAAAGACCCAAAATTACTTTTTGTCTTTAGTCCCTATATATGGATAGGTAGCATTAGCAAAGAAATTAAGCTCTAGCTAAGAAATGACTATGTTTTAAATTAAAAGTTTGTTCAGTATTTCAAATCCACAGAAAATTTGTATTTTTACATTGAATTGAAATCAAAACACATTATATATTGCACTATATTGTAATGCACAAGGTGGTTCCAAATAAACCAGCTCTATAAAGTAAATGTTACTGCAAGCAGATGTTAAGTGCAAAAATTCATACTCCTTGCAAATGACTACTTATTTTAAATACTAGATTATCACTGAAGAACCTTCATACTTCGTGAAGGCTGCTAGCCAGGAATTCTGGTCTCCTTTGTTAGGATTCAAGTCATGCTGATCTTAAGAGTGGATATAAAAAATTCTAGTCTCTAGCAGTACTGAGGAGAACAAAAGACCTGTCTCCACAGAAGCAAGCAAGATGTTTTCTTCATCAAGAAAGCCTATTTAAGAAGTTGCCACCTCTTTTCTCCTTTTGCTTGCCGCCTTTGTTTTTCCAACAGAATATCTGTGCGGCCTACCGTAAACTCGATCAGATTAAAAGAAGAAACTAGAGTAACATTTGTTTGCTTGTTTCAAAAAAAAAAAAAAAAAGTAAAAATCTGCTCACTCCACTAAACCAGTATACAACATAGCACCCCACATAGCTGGTACTAGCACAACTCAAGGGTCAGCAAAGTGCAGTGCTTGAGTGGCAATTTCTTAAACCAGTGCTGCTGATGGACAAATTAAATCAAATTACACCCTCAGGAAAGAGGATCCAAATTAGCTTCATCTCAGAATACAAAAAAATAGTAATAAATAAGTTTGTTAAAGCCACGTGAAGAGGCTTGCAGCCATCTTTATCTGATTTAAATTCAAAATGCTTCAGAGATGAATGTACACAGCTCTTTCTCTGTGGCTTCAACACGTCCACAAATTCAGGGAGTTAACACTTCCAGAAGTTTGCATTTAGAAAGTTCTCAGAAGCTTCAACATCCCTGTGGTTTTGAGTTTTGACTAAATTTCACCAAAACTCGCAAGTTAAGGCCTATAAGAATATAATGAACTACCATATTGGGTCAGATCGAAGGCCCATCTCAGTGACAAATGCCTATGTACCTTGCATAAGGAAGCCACACACACTTCCCCTAGCAGTACTCGGAGCTCCTGGCAATCCACACTTAAGGACCAAAGGCTAAATTTTTCATTTAAAAGCTATTGGCCTAGTTTCTCTGAATTTGTCTACTCCTTTTCATTTATGCCTTTGGCCTCCAGAACATCCTGTTAAACTAGTTCAACAATGTAAGCTTGGGACTCTTAGAAAAAAAGAAAAGGCTGCCTTTTAACTATTTTAAGATAAGATCATTATGAAAGCTTGTTTGTTCTAATATCATATGTAAGTTTGTTTATTTATAAGCAGTCTTACCTTAAAATTCCATTTGTCACTGACTTGCCTGCAAAGATTTAGATCCATCTCTACTACCAGAAGTCCATCCTGAGTGCGAGAGAGTCCTGGGGTCCTGCTGCCATCTGGTGCAGCTACATAACTTGAGCCATAAAAATGGCCCAAGTCATGGTGTGCTTAAAGAAATTTTTAAAGAGCATGTAACACCATCTACAAATAAGTATACAACTGAACATGTAGTGTCCCATAAAACCTGGCTCAGTTTCTTGTGGTTGCTCACTCACTGTGCTTTAAGCAAGGTATCATCCTGAAGAGCCACAGCACGCTCCTAAGGTAACTGCAGTTTTGACTAGTAGTTACTCTGATGCACAGTACAGCTGTCACATATATCAAATTAACAGGAAAAATCTTACTGCATTGCCTTTTAAACAATGCTTGATTATGCTTTCCTATTGTTAAGTCTCTTAACTAAAGTAAAGGCTTTGCTTTCACTGTTTTTTTTCTTTAGAATTTAAATTAATTCTAATTGTCAAATCACCCATTCAATTTTCAATACAAGGTCAGAGGTGAAACTACTGGGATTTAAGGCATGGAAAAAATCTTACTTCATATTGCACAACTCCGAGTTGTGCCAAAAATCAGCCACATCTGTTGTAATACTAAGCAATGGACACCACTGACCTTTTTCATGCAGCTGCTACAAACACTTTGCTCCAAAACTAGCTAAAAAAAGGCTCAGGCCCACTCCAGATGAAGCCAAAGGCAGTCATGGCTGTCACAGGACAAATTATAGTGTTTCAACATACAAGTGAAGTACATACAAGCCAATCTCATGCTCTTTGAGCATTCTCTTCTTTAACTTCCAGCAAATCTGTGAAACAGGGCAAAATGGCTTGGCTAGGGATTCAGGCTAGGGCTATTGCTCTTAATAATCTTAAAACTACAAATAAAGTGTAATGCATGCACTGACAACACAGGCTAATTCATGGGATTTCTGTCTTCCAGTCCTACAATACTGCATTGACTCCAAAACTCTTAGTTCTCTGAAAATACACAGAAACCTTAAGTATCAACTTCTGGTGACCACATACTGCGGCACCATCACCTTTAATAGGAAGTGCTTCTTCTCTCCAGCTTAGAGAATAGCAGTCTTAAGTAAGGCAGTCTCTAGCTGCCATAGCTGTCATGGGATAGACACTTGCAGGAGAGCTATCGTTTCTTCAGACTTTCTAGTTAACAATTATTAACAACCACTGAATGTGATTTCTGAACATACCTTTTCCACCATCTCCAGAAGTAAAGGCGTTTTTGTAGTACTCCTGTGAAATAAGAGGAATCCGTAGGTGGCAGTATAATTCCATTTCACTCAAGAAATCCTTGCTAGTCTATCATATTTAGTATGGAAGTTTATGTAAATCTATTGAGATTTTTTTCTGGCATACTATCAGCACTTTCTAAAGGGAGTCAGAGGGGCCTAGTTCCTATGATGGATAGGCTAGAAAGCAAGATCTTTTTGTATCACTCCCTGTTGTTCATATACTTTGGGGAACATGACTCGTATCAGTTTCACGGGTCTAAAGAAGAGGCAAAAGAGGAGACATTTAACCAAACACATCTTTGTGGATCACAAAAGAAGGTAAATGTATTCACATAACAGCAAGAACAAACCTGGATTTTTGCAGGGAGCCTTTCAAAAGAACACACATGTAGGGTATTTGGACTAACCTGAAGGCAAGAAAGACCTATTGTGTGCAATATTGATTTTCACTATAGAATTTCAGTGTCCAGAAAGAGGTAGTATCTGTACAACAGTAACCTGTTGTGTACCACTGACTTGAGGATACACTTAATTTTCAGTCATTTTGGCCAAAAGAACTTCACCATAGAAACTAGGAGAATTAGCAAAAGGGTGGGTGCCTATTATAAAGAGAGCAATTCCAGAACAGGAAGCAGCTGCAACCAAAAAGTAGGCTGCCAGCAACAAGGCAGCTCTCAATCCCTTTATCACTATCCATCTTCAAATCATATTATAAACGCTAATACAGTAGTTACACAGTAGAGAAATCAATGCATTCTAGTGCTATTCAGTTCATTCCTTGAATTAACTCATGCTACAATACCTAAATTATGAAATGAAATAATAAAGTGAAGATACATACCGTTCCTACCCTGTTGATGGGACATGTAAAGCAGTGATTAGCTATGGCAGCATTTCTTGCTTCAATAGGCCACAGTGACTCGCTGAAATACACAAAAGAGGAGGCAGGTATTCACTACTTGTCTACCTCAGAGCTACATTTAGATTATGACTGTCTCACACTGTAAATTTTCTGTCAAAGAAGCCAAAGTTAGCTACTAAGACTGATCTTGTTCTTACAATCAAAATCTCCCGAGATACAGCCAAGCACTCTAATTACTTTCTGCTCAAATATAGGTATAAACAATTCTATCTGATAACCTCATAAATATGGCTTTGTTGGGGGGGGGGGGGAACAAACACTCTTAGGCTTTTCACAAATTGGGTTTTGTGGGGGGGGGGGGGAATAACACATCTCAAGATTTTCAAAGCAATTAAAGTGTAAAATCCTTTGCGTAATTTGGAGAGTGAAACATTTACACATGTGCTTTCACATTCCATTAACTTTCAATATTCCAAACATCATTCTGCAACAAAGCTGCAAGAGATTCATACAAGTTGCCTCCTTTTTTCCCCAAAATGGTCCAGGAGAGGCTTTTGCAGCAGTGAATAAAAAAAACCCAATTAAAAAACCTCAGTTTTCATGGCACTTTCCAGTAAGGCATTTTCCCCATGGTGGGCTGGTGAAAATGAAAACATGTTTAAGAAAAGCATCCCAATAATTTCCCAGTAATTGTCTATTAAACCAGGCACTAAATTTACATAAAACCAAGAGCTGAGAAATGAGGAATAAAAAATTCCTTCTGTTTTACAAGTCTCTGTCTCTTTTGCAAAGGAGATTTCAATTCTGACTGATGTTTAAAACTGAAATAGTCCTCTTTTTATTAAATAGCTTGATATGCAGAGATCAGACTAGTTAATAGGAGGTCTGGAAGTACTCAGCTCCAAAACAAAGATGATACAATTTGTACACTCCTGTGACAGCAAGTACCCACCAGATTCTGAACACCAAGACAAGGTTAAAGCATCTGACTCATTAATCTCCCAGTCAGACTCAAGAATCTGAAGAGATGGTCATTGGACTGATTGAAAGGACTTGGTTTATTGCCTCTTTTCTCAATTGCTTTGAGTCTGGCAGCCAGCTCTTCTAAGAAAAAGGGATTTTATTGAAAAGCTCCAGCAAATTACGATTTCACAGAAGAGAAGACAGGAAAAAAAGGCTATAGCCAAGAAGTGACCCCAGAGACAGTTTTTACATGGGTCTCAAGAGTCCTCTTCCTGAAACAAAAATCATATGCTTATAAACGATCAAGTGAAAGGTAATAATTAGGAAAGCCTGAAGCACCCAGAGTGCCAATGAAGTGCTGTATGACAACAGGGTAATTTGTGTTCACTCTCCTTTTAATGGGCTGTAAGTGAACAAACATCACAAATACTCTAATAGTGACATAAATGCCCCCAAAACATTGTGTATTCATTCAACTCTTTTCAATGGACATTTTCCAACATTACTCAACCTAAACTATCTTTTATACCAAAAAATATTAAAGACATTCTGAATGACAGAATAGTGCATCTAACCTACAGTTCTACTCTCCAGGTCTGTAAATACATGGTTCTCTACATCAGAACTGGCTGTGGATATGAAAAATTTATGCCTCTAATTTGTTTTTCACCATTTCTACCCTTTTATGAATGCTTGTCATCCTCAGGATTTTCTAGCTGGTCAGCAAAAAAAATTGGATTAATATTCTTGGAACTTGTTACAGAGAAAGAAAACCTCCAAATTTACATTAAACAGGCAAACTGAGGGGATTAGGGGGAATCCTGAAGAAATGGAAGTGCTAAAAAAAAAAATACTCCTCTTACATTTCTAACTCTTCTATCGTCTTGCATATCCAGTCTATATTGCCTTAACATTCTACACATTAAGGTTTACAAAACTGACACTGGAAAAATCTCTTCCTCTAGGTTTAAAGAAATAAAAATGAAAGTATTCTGCAATTAGTCCACGCACACAAACCGAGCTGAAGGGAGAGAAGAGACACGAGAAAGAATTTTTAATACTACAAGAGATCAATATGTCTTCTTTTTTTGTTTGCTACTGAATATTATACTTATATTACAATATCATCAGTAACAATGAAATATGCTCGTTAGCTTCCTAAAACTTATCTTTGGAGCTGGAAACTCAAAGACAGTTCAGCTAGCCCAAAATACGTTTTTTTAACTCACAAAGGAAATGTCTTTGTAGGAAGCTTTGTTCCAAAGAACTCTGCAAAGCCAGACTTCTTCCCCATCACCCTGTAACAAAGCTAACTGCTTATGCTGGAAAGGGTTAAAAACATTAACACCTATAATTAAGCATAAACTACCATCACTTCCTCAGTCATATATATGCAAACATCATACATTACTCAACTACTTTTCAGAGCCTACTGTTACCAGGAAAAAAAAAGAAAAAAAAAAGAAAAAGCACAGTTGTTCTATCATGTGTTAAGCTGATGTGTAGACACATTCTGGAATCTCACATCTCAATTTACAAATAATCTAATTTGGAACTTAAAACTATTGAGTAGTACAGCAAAGAACAGAATACAGTGAAAATGAAAGGAAGGCATGGTGATTTTGTCAAGAAGAGTGGTATAAAGAACCACTAAAACCATTTCTACAAGGTTTCTTCCTAAAGAAAGCCCTCCCGCCAGTCCCAAAGAAATGCAGTTATTTTGGATCATGTTATAGCGTCCTAAGGAATACACAGCCTGTGTCAGAGAATGCTTTGGAAGCATGGCACATTCAAAGGTTATTATATTGAAATGCGACTGATGCTAATAACATGGAGGCAAAGAATATTCAAGATCTAATCCACAAATTAATCATTATGGGCTAGCTAAGAAGTGTATTTTCTTAGCTCACTGAGCTGGTTTTCTTTTTTCTTTTAGGAAATCAAGTCAGTAGGGTGCAATTAATGTCAATCTGCAGAAGATTAATCTCAAGGGAAACAGTTTACACTGGTTCAGTCTGGTTCAAGAGGCCTGATAATCACAAAATTGCCAACAATTAAAAAAAGTTTCTGAGAAAAGAGTTTCTCAGCTTGGCTCTGAAAACTGCAATTTGACACCACACTTACTGGCTCTCAGGTGGACAATGCAAATTGGCAAGCCAAGCCTGAATGTAAATTACTACTGCCTATCATAAAGCAAAAATAATACATAGATGATCTAAATAAACTCTCATTAGTTTTCAGAACACCAGCTGGATGCTGCTTAACTTTGTCTGAAAGACAAAAGACCTGCAGATGTACAACTAAAGTTCTGGAACATAATCAGTGACTGTGAGCAGACCAATAGCCCAAAACTCCAGGTGGAGAACAATGCAGATTCCTTCATGAAGGCAAACCAAGGAGGCTATACCTTCAGTTCCAAGGCCTCAGCAAGGTGCCCCTGAGGCCCCAGCAAGGGGCTCAGAGGTTCAGTTAACCCAGAAAGCATGCAATGGCCTAAATCAGCTTGTATTTTACCTGAGTGTTCCAATAGTGGCTGAAGGGTTAAAGATGATCTCTGCTCCATTCATACTGAACATGAGCCAGTTCAGAGGGTGATGGCGCCCATAGCAGATATTCACAGCAATTGTTCCAAACTGTGTTTGAAACACTGGGTGTCCCGTATTTCCTTCCATATAGTAAGTAGACTACAAACAAACAAAACAAACAAAGAACCACAAAGGCAGACTTCTTAAAAAAAGTCAAAAGAACTACCTCCAACTTTGCTTTGACACTGCCCACTTTCTGATTACCAGCTTCAAGTCATTAGACCATGATCACATACTTTCATTTAGTACATAGCTGCACTGTAATGGATATATAGCAAAAAGTAGCTCTCTTTGGCTGCTGAGATTAAATTCAAGCCCCTTTCTGTTTCCCTTCACTCATACTACACCTAAGCACTGTCTAATTTTGACATAAACACTTCTATTAATGCTAGAAACTTCCACAGAAGCTTAAGAGAGATCCACAAATTGCCAAACTTTAGGCACCTCTCTTAGTACTTTCACCACATAAGAAAATTTTCATCACAATCCTTTGATTCTGATTAAAAAGATGAACACTGTTTAAAGAACAGAGAGCAGCCCTGAGGAGAAGGACTTGGGGGTGTTGTTTGACAAGAAGCTCAACGTGACTCAGCAATGTGCACCTGCAGCCCAGAAAGCCAACCGTGCCCTGGGCTGCATCCAAAGCAATGTGACCAGCAGATCGAGGGAGGGGATTCTGCCCCTCTACTCCACTCTGGTGAGAACCCCCCCCCCCGCAGTACTGCCTCCAGCTCTGGGGTCCTCAGCACCAGAAGGACATGGACCTGTTGGAGTGAGTCCAGACGAGGACACAAAGATGATCCGAGGGCTGGAGCACCTCTGCTGAGGACAGGCTGAGAGAGTCAGCGTTGTTCAGCCTGGAGAAGAGAAGGCTACAAGGAGGCCTTAGAGCAGCCTTCCCATACCTAAACAGGTGTACAAGAAAGCTGGGGAGGGACTTTTTACAAGGGCATTGAGCGATAGGAAAAGAGGCAGTGGCTTTAAACTGGAAGAGGGAAGAATTAGATGAGATATTAGGAAGAAACTCTTCACAGTGAGGGTGGTGAGGCACTGGCACAGGTTGCCCAGAGAAGCTGTGGATGCCCCATCCCCGGAAGCATTCAAGGCCAGGTTGGATGGGGCTTTGAGCAACCTGATCTGATGGAAGGTGTTCCTGCCCATGGCAGGGAGGTTGGAACTAGATGGTATTTAAGGTGACTTCCACCACAAACCATTCTATGATTCTACGATTATGGAATTCCTTTACATTCACCTGTTACGTAACGACGTGCAGTAATTCTATGAAGGCTATAAGGAAAAATCAGTGTATAGCTAAGATTGGTTATTTAAATTTCCTATATGTCTGTTACTCTGAACAAACAGAAGGCTTGAAATAACCTCCAGGAAAAATCACAAGATAATCTAGAGAACACTCCTTAAAGAAACTGGAGCCAACTATTGGCTTGAAAGATTCCATTTACCATATGCTGCGAACTTTTATCTTACTATATCAAACATTTCTAAAGTTAGAAATGCACTGGTTCCTGTAAAAGGCACTGCTGAAGAGAAGGATAGGGCATTGTAAACAACTATTGAGAGAGAAACATTCACAGAGATATTTTAAATGAAACTTACAGAAATGGTTCTTTCCAGATACAAGAAAAGGGTATGTGTGGAGTCACTGACAGTTGTCTGCTCAGTGGTAGACAAAAACCCAAGAAAACCTCAGACATCAACAGGAAGGATACTAAAATGTAACAGAAAACACTGTTTTGCTGGTTTATAAGAATTCTGTGTGCTCGTGGCTTGAGTCGTCTGGGCAATTCTAGTGTCTGCATCTCAATAAGGATATACTGGAGATGGAATAAGCAAAGGCAACTGAAGTGATGAAGGGGGTGGGGCAGCTCCCTTGTGAGGAGAAACTAAAAATGCTCTTCAATCTGCAGATGGAAGGCCGTGGGTGATATGATGAATAAGATTTACAAAATCACAAAGGCAGTGGACAAGATGAATACAGAAATTCCAAGGCAGCAGCAGCACCGGGTATTCACTGACATTACACTCATATACCTGTTTTCAACCAAAGTAGGTTTTTTTGTGCAGCAGGCTGCACACTTCTAAAATGTGCTTCCTTGTGAAAGCAGGTATTATCACCAGGTTCAGAAAAGTCACTGATAAAAGACCCACAGATAAGGAACTAAACAGACAGGAACATGCCACCCAACATCCCTAATGCAAGGACTGTGGATACTGGGGGAGTACGAAAGTTGCAGAGTGGCCAATTATTTGTACCAGTTCCTTGCCATGACAACCTTAGAGACAGAAAAGCAAGGTACACAATCCACCAGCCTGACCCAATGGGGCGTGTCTCTTATCATATAAGAAAGGTTTGTTGTAAAGCAATTCCCTTTTTACTGATACTATCTGTCCATTCTAACAACCACTACCATTGGTCTTGAAGGAAGCAGAACCACATTAGGCCTGGGGAACAAACTAGGGCCTCGTGTAAGCATAGGAGAATGGCATGGTAGATACACGGGGATTATCTTCTGAAACCAAGGACTAGAGGTTCAGCATGCCCAGTAAAAGTGACATCTCATGTTTCTTATTTATTATCAGGTCTCATGAAATCGCACAGTCCCTTGGGCACTAATTTTATCTCCTTTCATGTCTGTAGAAAGCATACCACGTGGTGGGCACTCACAATCCTTTTTCAAAACAATTCTGCTGATTGAATATATTTCCATTTTTTTCTTCTATTCTCAGTTTTCTTTTATTACAATAGGAGAAGAAAAACAAGAATGCTGTTGCTTCAGGGAATTCATCAGTTCTTATTTCTTTATTCCTCACCAGAGGTCACAATCATCTCCACAGCAACAAACTGTGATGTCTCAAGAAGGATTGATTTTTGTTTATTTATATGCCCTCCCACACATGGCTGAATAGGTTACAGACCAATCTCTTTCC